TCGACACTGTGTCCGATCCGCACTGTGTCCGATCCGCACTGTGTCCGATTGCAACCACCGTGTGTCCGTTTCCTACTGTGTCTGATCGACACTGTGTCCGATTCATTCAACCTGCTGTGTCCGATTTATTCTGTGCGCAACTGGGACTCACTCGTCGTATATTTTATTTAATTTGAGTTATTTCATTTACGGCAACACGCCGCCAGCAACTTTAAATCGTGAGTTCGAATCAACTTTCACAATTATTATGCGATTAGTTTGCGAATAGATTCAATAGTTTTCTAATGGTCTAAATAGACTACCCAAATGTATCATTCGTTTAATTTTACAATATTTCACTTGAGGCAACACGCCGCCGATAACTTTAACTCAGCGATTCGAACAAACTTTTGAACTATCAGTCCGAATAACTTTTAATCAGTCTTAAAATGATTGTTGCGACTCTTAGAAGTCAGTCATATGACAAATTTCTTAAGTTTCTAATTATTTCTCAAAGTTACAAATTCGTGGTGAGAATTAAGAGTAAGCCTTATGATGCCTATTTGACCATGGATATCAGTCTCAATGATTGTAAACACTGTTAGTCTGAGGTGCTTTTCTCAATTTTCTTATTTTTTCAAAGTCAAGGTCATTTTCTTAATTAACGATAATTTTATACTTTTAACGATGGAATATCGTCTTTTAAGACTGAATAGAATTACACGTAGCGTCAGATCGTTACTTTTTCATTTATTTTATCTGAAGTTCCTGAAAAAAGGAAAACTTTATTATTTCATTAGTTTAACATCTTAGTTACGTTCTTTATACTTACCGGGATACTTACCTGACGAATCCTGTTGATCCTGGAATGCCTGGATGAAACCTGAAAATAAAAAAGAGAATTAATGAATGATAACGCGATATTAGACGCGAATGATGTTAATGAGAAGGGAAAAACCGTACTCGATGTAAAAGCATGTATGATATTGCGTGATTGAAAGAAAAAAGGAAAACGGGATTCATAGAGTCATAATTTTATTTAAAATATTATTTGAAAACATGTAGTCGCATGAAATATTATTTCGTCATAAATTTCCGTTACGCGAACGTCGGC